CTGTGAGAATTACGTGGGATAAGTCTGCCCGATACAGTGTGATATAGTCTGCTCTATTAGGTGCGTAAAATCTAAGGCCTTAAATCAGACGTGCTGTGAGTTCGGGTGAGCTGGAATTTTTTTTCAAGAGTTGTAGTGCTATTAAGGAGGGGATTTCAAACTTCCAATCCGAGTGGATAAGAAGATAAGAAATAGATGCTAATGCTTACTTGATTGGGTCAAAATGAAAGTTGTTCGCCCAACAGACCGTCCGGAGCTCGACAATCGCGTGGAAGGAAGACTGACCATTGAGATAACTCTGATTGAGGGAGAATATGACGGAGGAAGAAGCGTGAAAGTGGAAGGCGTGCTGTGAGAATTGTGTGGGATAAGTCTGCGCGATATAGTGCGATATAGTCTGCGCGATTAGGTGCGTAAAATCTACTGCCTTAAATCAGACGTGCTGTGAGTTTGGATGAGCCGGATTTTTTTTTCAAGAGTTGTAGTGCTATTAAAGAGAGGATTGTATAGTATTGTACTTTTTAACTCCTAATCCAATATGTCACCATAACATCCGAAATTTCTTGCATTGTAACTAATGTTGGTTTTATATTTCTTGCAACGTAATTAGCCCCGATTTTTATTCTTGGCGCCTCGTATAAGCTATGACTTATAATGTTATCGATAAAAAGGAAAGTATTAAACACCAAGATGTTATTATATATCAAAGTATTAATCATGCAAGCTTTTCACTTTTGATCTCATTTTGAATGTTTTGCCAAGATGTTATTATATATCAAAGTTTAAAGCCAACTAATTTTATAAAAGCCTAGTATAGTTTATAAAAGTATATCTTTCACGTAAAGTCCGATTTGCTTGCGAATAGCATGACATAATAAATGATTATGAGATCTTTCCTACAATTGAAGTTAACATTAAATTATTCTATACAAATCAATAAATTTATAAAAGAGAGACTTTGATTTTCTGAAGCATACAATGCGGGGTTTAGACACGAATATTACTAAAATTTAGACAATGGTGAAAAAAGAGTTTTTTTTAATTTAAAAAGAAAATGAAACTAATAATCATTAGTTTTACTAAATTACCTCTAGTGAATTTATCGAATGACTTTATTGAATAGTAACATGACTCACATAGTGGCTACCGCTCCTGTGACCACCCAGGCAATGACCATCGCTCTATCGATCACCCGCGCAGTGACCACCACGGCCACAATTGCCATTGCCGCTGCCGGTCAAAGTGACCACCGTGGCCAGCTAGTGACTACACATTCACAGTGTGGTAGTGATCGTTGCAGTCAGTTACACTTGCAACTGTCTGGCTACCTAATTTTTAACCAAATATACACAATGACACAGTAGGCTAATACCCCGCCGCCCGCCACCACGTCGCCATGGTCGTCGCCCCAGATGGATGACTGTAATACTTGAGATTAATTTAAAGTGATGTGTAGTACTACTCATACTGACAAGATACATCTCATTTTAGGGAAGTTCATAAGCTAATAAATCCAACCTAAGTGTGCCTGCACGGGACTAGTTTTGAGATGGGTGACCCCCTAGAAAGTTTCTCAGGCCGCACACGAGTGAGAATAAAGTGCGTGGTAAAGGCCCTGCAGTCTAGAGGTCTAGAGAGTATCTAAGAGTAACAACCATTGGCCCTGTGGGGTCAGGGTGCTACAGTGACACCACTCACTATCGTCGTCCTACCCTCATCTCCCCAACCCTACCCCATGTCTTGCCCCCGCCCCCTCTCCGACCACTGGCTGGGTTCCCACCTGGTTCGTCCAAAAGTCTACCCACATCACCAGTGCACCTCCATAGAACCCTCATCTGACATTCGTGGCGGCCCCAAATGAGAGTCATCGTCTATGTGAAAGCATTTTCGCCTTCAAGATCATGCGCATTGATCCAGTGGAGCTTATGACAAACAAATTGAAGCTATAATGGTACGATTAAAAAGAAGAAGAAAAGGAGAAGGAAAACAATTAGATATAGTCAGGTGACGACGATTATGTCATTATGGTGGAGCTGCGATGAAGGATAGATTGTGGCAGAGACGAGGATTGATCAGCGAGAGAAGTGAGGATTCATTTCACTCTATTTGCTAACAATTGATCTCTTTTTTGTCAATTGCAAAGCTATTAGTAAAATTCCAACTAGTTTTTTTAAAATGTACAAAGCACTAGGAAGTAGAATCTTGATTATAACTATTTGAGAATATATTTGCTAACATATTGTCTAGTACTACCTCCGTCCCAAATGGTTGTCTCATTTCAATTTGGCACAATCATTAATAAAGTGATTGAAAAATAAAAGCTATAATTGAGATTTGAATAGAATGAAGTAAAATCATACGGACCACAAATTTCTTATCAAAAGGGGAAACATGACATCCATTTTAGGACAATCCAAAAAGAAAAGTAAACCAACCAAAATGTGATGAAGGGAGTATTTATTTCCTTCAGTAAATATAGTCATGGTACAAATCTCAAAAATTTATGTTATAAAATTCATTCAGAATATTAATTTAGTATGAGTTTTAGTCTTACCATAATTTTTGTGCATTTATATATAGATCTTCTTATGTGCAAATGGACGTGTTAAACGTTTCCATTTGAAAAATATAATTTACTAACATGGATGCTTAATTTCACAATTCAAACATATTCACTACAAAAAATAACTTCCAAATGCACAAATTTAATAATAATTCAATTTATTTATATTTCATATCCTAGTGCATGCATATTCATTTAAAATTCCTCGGAAAATTGCAAAATGTTACTTAGAAAGTAGCATGGAATATCAAATGCATAATATTAAGGAAAACAAAACAATGGAGAATAATATAGAGTATAACTCTATATATATTTCATCTGCAAATCGCACAATGCATATTTACTTATTACATTATATATTTCATCAGTACTAATTAAGTTCATCAATTCAAAAATCTGAATATGAAGTTGATTTGTAGAATGTACAGATTTAAAATTAATTCAACTTATTTAATTCCCTCACATTGAGTTTAAAATATCAATTTCACAATCATTTTATGGGGAATATATATAACAATATGGACATTCTTTCCAACCCAATTCAGTTCCAGACGGCTGGTTACCTGTCCCCCGATGAATTACAGTACCTGTCCAGTTCCAGTACGGATTGAAGTAACAAAATATACGCAGATTGGATCTTTGGGAGGGGCATGGCAAAAATGGTGATGACTTATCCCATAAAATGATATTTTCAGATCCAATATATGCTCTCAACGTTGCATCTTGTTCATTTAGACGGGCAAGCATTTACAACAAAAAGATATGATTGAAAGAGAACCGAACGCCAGAAGAAAAACATTAGGGAGGGAAGCTAAGAAGAGTCTTACGGCCACAACTAAATGTACTTCATTAAGTTCAACATAAAATAAAAATAACACTCAATTAACAAGTCACTTATGAGTAGTAACAACTAACAACCTAACAACAAGCCTACTGAGTCAGAAGAAATAAACAGATGGCTTTAGAATTTTGGTGTGGTCGAAATAAAAAAATCTCATTCTGTATCAGGTGAGCCTCCTGGAACCAGCTGCATTGCACAAATAAAAGACAGATGGTTCAGGAATCTGGCATTCACAAATACAATAATGACAACTAAAAGAACACAAAGAAAATGAGTGTGGGTGGCAGAAACAACACTCATGTTTGTGGCTAAATCATTAGTATTACTCACAATGGCAATGTTATTTCCATTCAGCAAGATTTGATCAAGCTTTGTTATTCGCCGTCCTTCAGAAGTGATCTCACTGCAATAAATGTGTTTGAAATAATATTGAACAAATAAATTCATTCATGTTGTTATTATTATGATATAGTATGGACAAGACTACAAGAGACATCTGGGTGACATGGACAAGAAAAATAGGAAATATGTGATGCTGTTATGTGCGCATGTGTACAATCTCATCCAAGGCATAGAACGAGAGGGCAGAGGGGAGGTAGAGCTGAAGAGAAATTTCAGATCTACACACTAGAGAGAGAGGAGACTTAGGTCGATTTAGTGGGTGCCCGACCTAGTCAAGACTGAAGACACAAGAATTAATTCTCCCAAAGTAGGTTATTAATCAATACTGGCAACCTTATATGGCTAATACACAACTTTAATCATAAAACGAAATATACACACACACACACACACACACACACATATATATATATATATATATATATATATATATATATATATGAATAAATAAATAAAGATAGAAACAGGCTAAACTGAAATAAGAAATAAAAACAATAATACTCCATAGTAGGACTGTTTGCTCTGATAGCAAGACAGTAGGACAGGTTCAATTAGGTAATTGTCCACTGCTCACCACCTGGTGCGCTGAGGCCAGCACGTCGATTCCTTTATCCATTACCTTAGAATTGATCCTAACAAATGCTCTCACAGGAGACAGGGACTTCTTCAAGTCATAAATTCAGAAGATATGGACCCTTGATATGCAAACAATAATGGCAAATACATCAAACCTATTTAGTTTTGCGTATGCTTAATTTTGTTTAAGAGTGAAAGTGAGGAGAGAGAAAGTTGTTGAAAAAAGAATTTATAACTCCGGGGTAACGTTTGGTATAAGAGAAAAAAATCGAGAAAGTCGGACTAAAAAATCGAGAAATGGGTATTTTCTTGAGAACATAGAAAAGGTTGATCCATGTGGCCATGTGGGTGTGTGCAGTTTGAATGTGTTGTACACAAACCTATTTCATTTCTATTCTACATCTCTTGACCCTATTTATAGCTCCTGTATTTCTATTGTAACAAACAGTCATAAGAATTTGAACTCGCTGCCAGAGAGAACTTTGGTGCTGGTTGAAAGTTGAAACACACTTTTTCATATTACAGTGGCCAGTTTGCCATGAAACTCAAAGATGAAAAATGAAGAGCTGCCTACCAGCTCAAGCATTGATTTTCAAGGAAGATAATAAGAGAGCAACA